CATCCTTCCTCACCCACCTGTTTCAAGGAGGCGGCAGGTGTGCCCTCCTCCTGGACTCTGCCTCTCCTCTCCTTTCACACCTCCTTGGCCTCCTTGTTCCAGCAGTTTAATAGCCTATCATTCTGTCTCTTTTTCTTCAGTGGCTGAATTCTGGCTTAGAAACAGTTCTCACTGAGGTCCAATAATACAGTAGTAAAATCAAACAGACACTTCATTTTTTTCATGTGACCTTGTGCCTTAGCCTGCTTCTTAAAAATTCTCTTTTGGTTTTCCATGACAACCTTCTACCTGACCAGTCAGTCTTCTTAGTCTGCTTTGAGGTCCTTCAGTTTTCCCATTTAATGTTAACACTAAGGTTCTGTCAATGGGGCTCTTTTCTTCAGAGTAGTTGTAAGAATTAAATGAATTAATTTGTTAGAGTCAGTGCCTGGCATCTAGCAAGCACTCTAGTAAGTGCTTACTATTATGATTTTACTTCAACTGAATTGTAAGATAATTTCATCCATGCCTGTTTTTACTGCCAAATGTGTTCTGGCCTAGAGTTTTCAGGCTCAGTTGGGTTTATCTAAATGCCTACGATTTACTCCTTGAATGTCCAGCTGAGCTCTGTTCTGAAATCTATTCTCAGCTCAGTAAATGACATAACCAGCAGCCCATTACTCAGGCCAGAAGAAACCATTCTAGACACCTTACTTCCTACCTCCAGCCATTCACCAAATCCTCTTGACAGTACCTTGTAAGGAGCTTCCTTTCCCATCCTCCCTACCTTTACTGCTCATCTTGCCAAGCCTCTCTGTAGTCCACTTCTCTTGCTACTGCTTTAAATTCTTCAATGGCATCTCTTCCTGAAAACATAAAAGTTTAAAGCAGAACATTTAAGTCCTTTGATCTGGCCTCTGCCTACCTTCCCAAGCCTTATTCTCTTGCTTCTCTTTTGGTCATCTCTGGACTACAAACTTTCCAGGCACCCATACCTCACTAGGCCCTTCCACAGATGGCTGCTCTCTAGACCTCCCTCTGCATTCACCCGCATAGGAATTCACTTTATTTATGGAGTTAGAAGTGACAGATATCAAAATAAAAATCTCTGAAATAGGCTGGGAAACCACCCAGAGGTTGGGAAGTGGTCTACTCTGAGTGAATTCTGAGGATAAAGACGGAAATGTGTAACGTATATAAAGACCAGGGTTAGGGGACAGGAAAAAGAATAAACAGTGGGAATGAAAGATGGTTCACAGAGAAAAGGACGGATGAGGGAACATTTCCAGATACAGTGGGCAACACTATCAAGTGTAGCAGAAAGGGCTAAGCATAGGTGGCCAAAGAAAAAGCCAGAGATTGTTGGTACAGTAAAAATAAAAGGGCAGTTCTAGTAGGCGGTGGCCTTGAAGGCAGAAAATAAGGGATGGGGCACCTGAGACGTTACCAGTGGCCTCCCTCTGACAACCTGGCAATTACTTCACTACAGAGAAGGCATCTCTGATCACTGTATATAAATCAGTCGTGTGTAATAATTAGACTTACTTACACAGGAAGACAGTTTTACTGTCTTTGGGGTATTTACAGAGTATCCTATGCTACTTTTACTTGAAGTCACCTGGCCTACTCCGAGGGCATGGGCACAGCACATTGTTTTGGGGAGGCAAGAATAACCCTACTTTATTTTTTTTATTTAAAAAAAAAATTTTTTTTTCAACGTTTTTTATTTATTTTTGGGACAGAGAGAGACAGAGCATGAACGGGGGAGGGGCAGAGAGAGAGGGAGACACAGAATCGGAAACAGGCTCCAGGCTCCGAGCCATCAGCCCAGAGCCCGACGCGGGGCTCGAACTCACAGACCGCGAGATCGTGACCTGGCTGAAGTCGGACGCTTAACCGACTGCGCCACCCAGGCGCCCCTATTTTAGTTCCATAGCTGTCACTGTAACTTTTCCCTGTATTACAGCTTTTAACTATTCACAACCCAAGCCCTCTGTGGTTGTGATTTATTTGTACTTCAGCCCCTATGTTACAATCACCATACAATCTCCGTAATTAAAACTTACAATCTTCTGTAGGAAGTCGTACACAGTGATACATTCCTAAAGAGAATGAGAAGATACTATGCAACCCTTTGCAAGTGCACTGGTTTGCTTCCTTTGCGCATCACGCCTCCAAAGCCTTGAAAACTCAAGTGCTGCAGGGGAGACTGATCTGATTTGATTTTTATCTACTTCTCGTTTTAAGCAACCGTTAACTATCTTTTTGAACACTGCAACTCAGCAGTAACATTGGGAGTTCAGGAGTTAAACACAATATATCGCAACTTCCACAGTGAGAACTTCCAAACAACAAGACTGTTTAATACTTCTGTATCAAAAACAAAATAAAACTGAACTATCAATAGGCTGTAAAATAACAGGTGTCGTCTTCTCCCAAGATCTTTCTTCCCATCCCCTTATAGTAATATGTTTAACTTTGAGAAAGTGTTGTCAATTTCAGAAGACTTAAGTGACATCATCGCTGTCATAACTGATGAAATACTATTAACATAATCTGCAAATTATTTCTGAGTTACAGGATATTAATTCACTGTAACATGTACCTTTGCTGCCCATTATAATCACTTGGGAAGACTGAACAATCCTGTTGCCCAGGTCACACTCCATACCAATTCAATTACAATGTATGGCAGTGGGAGCCAGGCATCAGTATTAACTATGTCTAGGAGACTTCATTGTCGCTGCTGGCAAGTTGTATGGATACAATCAAAGAAAGCTTTATATTCAGGGATCTGCTCTATCTGTCCCAAGCTTTTCTAAATGTTCAGTAGAAAAAGGTAGTTTGACATAGGTATATTAAGTATTACAACGGGCTTTTGAGGCACCTGGGTGGCTTAGTCAGTTGAGCATCCAGTTTCAGCTCAGGTTATGATCTTCCGGTTCATGAGTTCAAGCCCCACATCAGGTTCACTGTTGTCAGCACAAAGCCTGCTTCAAATCCTCTGTCCCCCCCTCTCTCTATCCCTCCACCATTTGCGTTCTCTCAAAAATAAATAAAACTTTTTTTTTAAAGTATTAGAAGAGGCTTTTGAAAAGCCTACATACTATATATTTCATCAATTCCAAAGCCTTTCTCATATTTAACAGCTCTTTAATTAAGGTGAGAAAGTCCTACAAAACAGTATATTATGTTAACGTGCCTTGTCCCTTCAAAGAAATTGTTTTGGAAAGCTATATACTAATGCCAACAATGCTACCATTGTTCGAAAAAAAATTTTTTTTTTTCCTAATTGCTTCCTGGAGCAGGACCTAAAATTTAAAACATAATTAATAGAGGCAAGTTTTCTGAGGAAGATTTTAGTTTTAGAAACTGCCAAGTCACTTGAGGTAAATAAATTGATGTGAATCAAGCTAGGTAATGCCATATTTGGTTCAAAACGAGATGTGGCTATAAAATTCACAGTACTTTTCTGGAGAGCACCCTAAAACTGGATATGGAAGCAGTTCCAAAAAGTTGCAAAAATATTTTTTTTTAAAGGGACTTTTTTAAAGTTTATTTAGAGAGAGGGAGAGAATCCAAAGCGGGCTCTGTGCTGTCAGTGCAGAGCCGGATGTGGGGCTCAGACTCACGAACTGTGAGATCATGACCTGAGCCAAAACCAAGAGTCAGAGCCCCCCTGCAAAAACAGTTTTGAGCAGTGTGAATAGAAACTCAAATTTTGTGGAGGTACCAGAGTTCAACGTTTTGAGAAACCTTAGAGATTTTCTGATCTATTGCCTGTGTTACAAAGAAAGACACTAAGGTTTGAAAACAATTGACTCCTCAGTCCTAGTTAGGTTAGTCAGTGGCAGACCTAAAAACAACTTCTCTGCCTCTCAATTCAGTTTTAGCCTCAATCTCCATTCCCTCCCTTCCAAAAAAAAAGGGGGGGGGCGGGTAGGTCAGTTTAGGAATAAGTCTGTACTATCATATAATGATCCTTACTTTCTCACAAACTAAATCTTAAAACGTTGCAGAATTTTGCTGTGATGCTGTTCTCTTCAGATTTACCAATCTGTGGAAACCAAAATGAGGTGTTGGACATATTCTTGGTGCCCAGTCTCCCATTATCTTTCTTTTCTTAGTTTTTTTTTTTAATCTTAGAGACGGAGGGGCAGAAAGGGAGAATCCCCAGTAGGCTCCATGCTCAGCACGTAGCCCCACGCAGGGGCTCGATCCCGTGATCCTTGGGATCATAACCTGAGCTAAAATCAAGAGTCGGACACTCAGCCAACTGAGCCACCCAGGCGCCCCATTCCATCATATTTCTTGATGTTTTTACATTATAGATAAGGATTCTGTAATCCTATTTCAACATTCTTGTACACAAATTGTCCACATCTAGAAACCTGAATCTGTTTAATGTAGCAAGGTAATTTATACTCTGCTTTATTACCAAAAGGATTTCAGATAGTTTACATATTCTAAGAACAAGTGAAAGTCAAAAAATAAAAGAAAAAAGGATGGCAAAAGATGAAAGCATACAGAATACATGTTGTAAAATGTTACACAGTAATTAAAATTCAGCTATAAGGTTTGGTTTTGAATGTCTTGGAAGCCAAGGCAAAAAAGATGATCAGTAATGAGATTCAAAGAATCCAGTTTACCAGCTGCTTAGAAGCAACTAAGCTTTTCCTAGCATTTTGTCAAGAGGAATCGGGGCGCCTGAGTGGCTAAATCAGTTAAGCGTCTGACTTCGGCTCAGGTCAGGAGCTCACGGTCATGAGTTTGAGCCCCACATGGGGCTCTGTGCTGACAGCTCAGAGCCTGGAGCCTGCTTCCAATCCTGTGTCTCCCTGTCTCTCTGCCCCTTCCCCGCTTGCACCTGTCTCTCTCTCTTTCGTTCTAAGAAATAAACAACAAACAAAAAGGAATGGCCGTGTCTGCATGTCTAATCTTGCATGAGTGTTCTTAGATGTGGGCTTTACACAGAAATCTGGGGAACAAAGGCCTGGAATTGAGAGTATTCTGTTCATCACTCAAAGGCAGATACTTTTTTACTTTACAAATCAAAGTAGGGTTGACATTCTCTCATGAAATTTAAAAACCAGATCACCCACAACCTCACATATGGCTGGAAGAACAATTAGGAAAAAAAACCCTTGCCATTCATTCTATCAACCACTCACCTATTTGGGGCTTTATTTTCTATTACTGCTATTAGTTCTGCATTTTCAAACTGAAAGATTACTCTTCTTGGAATAGTAACAGTGGGTTGTTAACAACATCCATGAATATTTTAAGACATCAAGTACAGTGCCCTTCCCTTTCTTGCTCTGAACCTTTGAAGGAAGGTTCAGTGACTTACGTGTATTATAACAATTTACAGTATTGTTTTACAAATACCTCCGATATCTGTGGGGTTGACAGGGCAGGTACAATGCAATACTCTGTAGATGAGAAAACGGAGGCCCTGGAGATGGAGCGGCTCGTCCAGGGCCACGCCGGTCATGTGTCTTCACTTGGAGCCTGGCCCCTTCTACTTGTTGTTTGTTTTCTCCTCCCCTTGTTTCGTGAGCCCAACTCCAGTCCTCTACCATTCTGGGATCCATCCACTCTAGATAAAAGCTGGACTGTGCCATATTTTTATACATGTCATTTTAAAAAGCTCTGCAAGTACATTCGTTTTTTGGATGACTATCCTTGTCTAAAATTGAAATCAATTATGATTATGAACATGTGTTTTTATCTCTTTTTAGAATTTATATCTTGGATATAAGCTTCCTCAAGCCTAAAACACATTATCTAATTATATTCCCTTATAAAACCTTGGATGGTTTAAAAATTCACTCAAATAGAGAATACTTGCATCAATTTCCTCTAGTTTGAAACACTCCAAGTAGCTGTTCTCACTGCTTAAAAAAAAAAAAAAAAAAAAAAAAGCTACCATCAAAGTATGCAAATAGTATTAGATATTCTACTTTTGAACTACTTCGCTGCCATCAGAATAACTGAAATCCACTCTTTCGGCCACCATTTGGTCTCTGGATCTTGCTTCTGTTCTATACTGCGTATGTACTACAAAGTATTTGACTCAGGTGTTTGACCATTTTTCACTGAACCGATCTCTTCCTCCTCCACCTATCACTCTTCTCTCCAATTGTACTCACTTGGGGCCAAAGGAGCATGTTGGCAGGGGAAAGAAGCACGTACTCTGGAGTCAAGACCTATTAGCTGTCACGTCACTTTGGTCCACGTATTTGATGTTTTTTTTTTTTTTTTTTTAATTTTTTTTTTTTAATGTTTATTTTTGAGACAGAGAGAGACAGAGCATGAATGGGGGAGGGGCAGAGAGAGAGGGAGACACAGAATCGGAAGCAGGCTCCAGGCTCTGAGCCATCAGCCCAGAGCCTGACGCGGGGCTCGAACTCACGAACCGTGAGATCGTGACCTGAGCTGAAGTCGGATGCTCAACCGACTGAGCCACCCAGGCGCCCCCGTATTTGATGTTTTACATCCATTTTAAATTAAGAGTAGTTGTAGAAACATTAATAATAAAGAACAGCTGTAAGATCATATATGTAAAGCTCTTAGAGGCAAAGGTGTAAGGAGTTCAAATGTTAGTTTCTTTGTAAGTATACACCACCATGCTTTGCTTGAGTAAATGAGGTGGTCATTCCTATTCCTACCACCTTGTAGAGGGGAATCTACTGAAATAGGGCACGGAGGAGGAAAAAAAAATCCATCGCCCCTCATTCTCTCTTCAAATCGGCACAATTTTACCTTCTCTCTGAAGACTCTTACTATGACCACGACTAAAATATTATGTGATATAAAAAGAAAAGCCAAACCAAAAGGTACAGAGGGATGGAATAAGAGAAATTTGTTAAATGGAACATGCTTAAAAATTTAGAATACATTTTAGATTTGTTACTTACCATTCTGCCTTCCGGTTACTCTGATAGTCCGTAAGGCAAAGGTGTCTATAAAGACTTAAAAGGAAGAATAAAATATGAAGTATAATCCAACAAGATTTAATACACTACTAAGAAATTATTTACCTAAATGCTCCCATAATTACATTTTAAATAGACAAATACAAAAGCATCAAACACAAGCATACTGAAGTGTTTAGGCCTCCTGTCACGGTTAACTCCACAAGACCACTCATAACGAAGAGTTCCATTATAGGTTTTCCCCCATCTCCTTAATTTATGGGAACATTACAATCACAAAGTGTTTCCATTTTTTTTGTTCATTAGCGTTCCCACCAACCCCTAGCCTAACGCTCAACCCATCGCCTGTTAATTCATATATTGGTGGACATTTTAAATTCAGACATTATTTTGGCTTTCATACTCATCTGGAATGGTTTGCTTAAGGCTGTCGTGATAGTTTCTCTTCAGGCTGGTGTACTTTGGGGTAGGCAAACTATTTAATGCTGGTACTAGTGAGTATTCTAATCAGTATTCTGTTTCTCAACAGCATAGGATTACCATTATTGAACCAAATGACAGTTGGTATAGATGTTCTTCCTGCTTACCATTCCTTCCAGGCAGCCCTAAGATTTTGTGTGTGCAATGTACTGAAAACCTCATTTGCTTCCAAAGTAGCTCCAATGCAGAACATTTGGGTGAACCATTTTGGGGGACTCCCAACCTTGATGCCTAGAGATACTACATAAGCACAGAACAGATGCCTTTCATGTGCAGCTACAGACCCACCTTTGTCTGCTTTGAAAATGAAGGTCTGTGGGTAAATGGATACTGTCGGTCACCATGTTAACAGTATTCAAAGATCAAATCTACTCCCAGATTCTTTTTTGGACTAAAAAGACAAGATATTAAAAGCACTAGCTTTAAAAGACCATTTATTATTCTTAAATATTTACAACTCATGGGTTAAAATATTTACCAGTTTATTACCAATAGGTTATTTGTTGGGATTTTGTTTGGAGGGGGCTTCGCCTGTTATCTTTACCACTTTTATTTCCTATGGAAGAGAATTCCAGGTTATCTTTCAGACTTTTTATACTCTTCTTTCTAGACGTTTTGAACTAGTCACCTGGCTATCTTAGGAAATTTCAATGACAGCTTCGTTAATAGGCTTTCTACTTTCCCGTCTCTGAAAAGCAGGTCCCACTTACTTTCTTAGCTATTGCCACATAACAGTTCCTAATTGTGAAAAGCACAGTCCAATACAAATAGACACTGGGTGACTTCACCAGTATATACCATAGCATTCCAATGGAAAACGATAAATGCAAAACAGTGATTAAATAGTGAAGACTGACTGACCAGGGAATCTCTTTAAGAAACACAATTATGGGAACATGGAGGCAGAGCAAGCATTACTTATGAAGAATGCATCAAGGAAACCTGATATTGTCACTTAAATAACAAAAAAATGCCTTCAGGCTAAATAGTCCCTTCGTACACGGCTACTGTTAGACCTGAAGTAAAAATATCTTAAGAGATTTAAGAAAATCACTATAAATTACTCTATAACTTATGGTATGCAAGGGTTTAAAATGTTCATAATGTTCTTATTTACTTCATCTTACATGAAGATATAAAAAAATAAATATTGCCATGCATATCTTGTTGGCATTCTAAAATCCCACAAATAAATAACTTGAAATGCTATCTAGAGAAATTGCTCCTGTATACTTATTATTATCTACGGAGGACTCAAGCAAGTCTGTTTTTATATAGCATCCTTAAACTGAAAAAAGCTACAAAACAAGCCTAATTGAAATACCCTTAAATGATCAAAATGTAATGCTAAGGGAAAGAAAACAATACAAGCCAAAACTGGAGTGCAAACACCTTTTTTGCTGTAGGTTTTAATGGAAAAGGTTTGTGGACTAATGGGATTCCTGGGTTCCCAAGGGCATGCTGGAAACACGGAAAATGATGTAAAAGAAATTGGGAATCCTTCCTCAGGCAACTTTTTATCCTATTTCAGTTTCCTGAAACATCCCTGGTTAAGACTTCTTGTGATGAAAAAGACACAGACGAGCATTTATAAAAGTCCATCAGGTTCCTCATTAAAGCTGAAGTCACACACTAGAGACAGATGGTCTGAAGGGTAATTAAAAGACGGTAGCCGGTTGGGTCCAATCTGTTCTTCGGTGAGCAAATCAAGAGCTGACCTCACACTCAGAGCGTGTTTAGAATACCAGATATAATCCAGCGTGTGCCGGCACTCCCCTGAGGTCCGGATCTTCCAGGTAGTATACGGGGGCTCTGACTGCCCGTCAGCACTCAGCAGCTTGTAGGCACTGTTCAGGTTGAGGCTGGAGGAAGCAAAGTGTTTGTAGACCTCCTCTGTTGGCTCTGCGTTGAAGTCCCCACAGACGATAAGGGGAATCTTGGCTCCTTGAGTGATGTTTTGGAGGTTCTGGAGAAGGTCACAACCCTGAGCTGAGCGAAATCGTTCCCAGCCAGTGCGTGCTTTTAGGTGAGTGACAGCGATACAGAACTGTCTACTGGACTCCTTGCACTCTAGGGTCTGTGCAATGGCCACCTGATTGGTTTTCAGTGTCATGGCCGTCAGCCTGATATTGGCACTATTGACTAGCTTGAATCGGTTCTGGAGAAAAAACAAGGCACAGCCATCTGGTCCGTTGTTGTGTTCCACATCTAGACAAGGTGACCAGGGCTTGGGGAAAAATGTGCCTTGATAGCCCAGTCTACTGAGGAGTGGCTGGAAGGTGTCAAAATAATGGTCCACCTCTTGGAGGCACAATATATCAGGCTGGTAGGCCAGGATTTCTTCTAGGATGAGACATTTCCTTTCTTCCCACTTGAGTGCTTCCACAGGGCATTGCACAAAGTTGTCTTTTCCTTCTCCAAGAGCTGAAATAAAAAAGCCAGTCAGCTGTCAGCTACTACAGGACACATGACTTCTAAGTACCTGGAAGTCTCCTTAGGTCGGACAGTACTCAAGACCCTCAGAACGCTTCCTCAACTTCAGATGCTTTGGGTGATTCTTCTCTGTCTAATCCGCATTAACCTACCAAACTAAATAACCTCTTACTATCCAAATGAGGCAAGCAATTTCTTTTCTTTCATATTAGAACTGTTTCATGTAGGGGTGCCTGGGTGTCTCAGTTGGTTGGGCAGCCGACTACAGCTCAGGTCGTGATCTCGCGGTGAGTTTGAGCCCCACGTTGGGCTCTGTCCTGAGAGCTGAGAGCCTGGAGTCTGCTTCCGATTCTGTGTCTCCCTCTCTTTCTCCCCTCCCCTGCTTGCTCTCAGTCTCTCTCTCAAAAATAATAAACAATAAAAAAAAAACAAAACAAAACAAAACAACAAAACTGTTTCATGTAACTATATTCTAGGATATAAGATCTTAAGTTTTAGCTTGAAACAGTGTTCTTTACAATCCCTGGGATCTAACCTATGTCAGAGGAAGTAAATATTTAACTCTGTACACTAATTTTTTAAGGAAGATTTTATTTTTAAGTAATCTTTATACCCAACATGGGCTTAAAACTCACAACTCCAAGATCAGGAGTCACATGCTCTAGTGGCTGAGCCAGCCAGGCACCCCATCTATACGTTAACACTAACTATAATGAACCATAAGGACTGATGCAGACACTACTTGGAATGAATGGAACCTATTTTAAATAGGCAGCTTTTCCAATCAAATACTGGGAAGTCAGGGTATACACCCTTCTTAAAAAAGCTGCCTTTGTTTCTTTTTCTTAAAATTTCAACTGCAACATGAAAGGCAATTCTACAGAGAGCCGACCGACACATTTTTTTAAATTCAGCAGACCTACGAAAGACAGACTTTCTGCCATAACAAAGTAATTTCTTAATGAACTAAAGCATTATCTCCTTAGCCTCAGGTTACAGATGCATATGGGTGGGAATCTAACTTCAAGAACACCCAGACTCGGGGAGCCTGGGTGGCTCAGTTGGTTAAGCATCTGACTTCGGCTCAGGTCATGATCTCGCGGTTCGTGGGTTTGAGCCCTGACAGTGCCAAACCCACTCTGGATCTTCTGTCCTCCTCTCTGCCCTTCTCCTGCTTGTGCGTGCTCTCTCTCAAAAATAAACATTAAAAACAAACAAACAAAAAAAGAATATCCGGATTCACCATCACCCACAGAGGCCCCATTCCCTGCAGAAAAGTCCTATATGTTACCCATCCAGCAGACTTAGTTTCTGCCTTGCCAATGCTATCCTAGTGCTGTGGACTGAAAGTTGGAGGCAACGGAAAGTGTGAGAATGATAAAAGACAGGGTCCTTTAAATATGGATGTGCTAGGAAGCAGACATTGTATTTGGATAGCCTACAAACATGGAAGGTAAGGTATAAATCTTGAGTTGCTGGATTTGTTAGTGAAAATCAGATGGCTCCCTTTCTTACCCTCCCCGTCTGGGAGCTCCTCATACTGCCCTGGTCACCCCGTCCTCCTACACCTCTATCTGCCCACGCCTCTTCCCTCCACGTAACACATCAGTGCTTTAGGTATGCGCAGAAACAGAAAGGTAGTCACAGCAAACTTAACTGCTCAGGCACAAAAGCATCAGGCATACCTTGGGCAAGGATGTTCCACTGCATGACCCTAATAGGTGGGTGGCTGCTGGGGTGATCCGTCCTCAGGTCCACAAAATCCCTCTGGAATCGGGGGGGTCGAGTGTGCAGGACAGCCCTGCATTCCTCAAGGAGTTCTTTAGGATCAATGGGCTCCAGATGTTCTGGATCAGGTGACACCAAATACTCCGGGTGCTGGGAGGCAGTGCTGCTGTTCAGTGTCTTGGCGAGAGCACTATAGAGCCTGCTCGTGCCGTGTCCCATGGAGCACACTACAGGGAAGGAGAGCACAGTCACACGCCCCGCTCAACCAGAAGATAAAACATTCACCGTCCCTAGAAGCCAAGAACCCGACAGAGGGCAATGTTGCCATGTTCATGCAGAAAGCCATTGCCACAGAGGTGGATTAAAGGAGTTGCCAGGTTCTAGCTTTCTACTAGGACAGGTAACTTAAATACAAATGTTAAAGTCGGTTTCTGATT